TTAGAGCAGGTGTTTGGTGTTCCGATATTGTGAAGACAGGTGAGTTCATGAGCTGAGTAAGTCAGCTTGCTAGCTGGTGTACTTTATTCAAACCAATTAACTCACTTGAACTTGGGATGCCTCAACCCTGAAATGAAGGTGCTGGGTTAGGTGATGAGGTAGTGGGTTCCGGCTTGTGCCTGAGAGGTGGGGGACATGAAGAATCGCAAGATCGGCACATTGGGAGTGTACTTCATGGGGCAGGGTGACTTCATTTTGGAGGTGAACTCGCCTATCAAATATTTTATAGACTAGGATAACTGAGTGTAGAATAGGTTTAATCATTCATTCAGTATATATGGAGAGTACAGTGTGCTCAGCACCATGCCAGGTCCCAAGGGATAGAATAGTGAACAAGACACAAAAGGCCCCACTCATATTCTATCAGGGTCACAGGGAATCAATCAGTAAATAAAGAAGTAAAGATCTAGGGTCAAAGAGATGGCTCAGTGGGTAGAGGTGCTTCTGTACAGCCCTGATGACCCAAGCTCCATCCTCAGACCCCACAAGGTGGCAGGAGAGAACAGATTCCTGAGAGGTGTTTTGTGACCTACACATGTATGCTGTGGAGCACACACACACACACACACACACACACACACACACTCATATACACTCACAAATACATGTGATGAGAAAATTAGTTTTATTTAAAAATAGAGATAAATGCTAGGATCAAAACAAAGTATGCCATCATAATTACATTGTGATACTGGGTGGCTTGGAGACAGTCCTCAGAGAAGCTGCATGTCAGCTGAGACTTCAAGGGTATTGAAGACCAAACATGCTTAGAAGTGACAACATGATTAGGCTTCCAATCTTTCTCTGAGGCAGTGGTACCCTTTACTTTCCAAGAATCATTACAACATAGAGGACAGGTAAAAGCAAGAGGGTGGTAGCTGTGGGGTCCTAGCATGGAAATTGGGCAGCTGAAGCCATAAGGATGAAGGATGGTAATGATGATATTTACATAAGCCTTCTTCACTTGCCTGTAGGGAATATGGAAAGCTTCAGAAGGCCATGATGCCAGCAAGAAGGCTAAATAAGGCCTGATAGAGGCAACGAAGATGATGATGATAGCAGACAATATCCCTATTACTAGTAGATACTATTTTTTAAAATATATATATTTATTTAATGAACTTTGAGGTTTTGCCTGCATGTATGTTTATATGAGTCAGATCACCTGAAACTGGAGATAAAGACCATCGTGAGCTGCCATGTGCATGATGGGACCTGAACCCAGTCCTTTGGCTTATCTCTCCAGCCCCTTAGTAGATACTATTTTAAGAAACAATTTTTATGTGTTCCAAACACTATGGGGCTCTTTGGAAGTATTAGTTATTTAATCTTCACAACTATTGGAGCTAAGATATTATCTTTACCCTCTCCTCCATTTTAACAGTGGGGAATCTGGAGCTTAGGAAAATACTGTCATGTACCCAAGACTGTATAGTTGGTACCTGATGTAGGATTTATTACTCTGGTCTCTGTCTCCATCTCTGTCTCTGTCCATGTCTGTCTGTCTCTCTTCTCTCTGTTACACATCTGTTTATCTATGTGCCATTACATTGATCCCATGCCCTTACCCTTATACTACACTGCCTTTTGTAGATCCCAGTCAAGTACTCATAAATAGCTGACGCAGAAGTATCTTCAGAGACCAGAGCTTTCGAATGTGGTGTTCTGACAGAGCACCTCTTACCTAGATTGGTCCTTGCTTACTTGACAGACAAGGGAACCTAGAGTCTGAAAATCAGGACAGTAATAATAGCAGGGTGGATTCTGAGTTCTCCTAACTTCTGCTTGTCCATGCTTTAGATCACCATATCCCTCTGTCTCGATGTCCTCACTAGAAATCCCTGGCAAAAGTGACTGAACAGAATTGTCTTCCCAAGAGGATAGAGGCGAGTACTAAATAAGATAGTGCACATAAAATTTTTGGTGTAGTGCTTGGTTCATAGTAAGTGTGCAATATACACTAATGCCTTTGCATAAATCCACATGGTCAGGTTCCATGCTCAGCGGTGAGCTCTTTGGAGTGTGGCTTGGGAAGGGAGATTGGAAGTTTTTGGGTTGGGGGTCGTTTTCTCTCCCTGGGCTTGCCATGTTGATTGACAGACAGCAAGACCTTGTTCAAAGCCATTGTAGTGAAAGTAAAACGTGGTTGGAAGTCTTGCAACCCACCATCAAAACTGTTGGGTGTAGGAAATGAACTGCTTGCTCTAAATAAATGGCTTTTCATTGCTGAGTTGCTCTTAATTATAGGCCTTCTTTGAACACTCAAACACAAGGCCTTTGTAAACTGTAACTCCCTCTTACACACATTCCTCCCATATGCCTACTTTCCCTTTCATTTATAGAGTATAAACACGCATCTCTTACTCATTCACATAATGAATTTCAGATCCTTTGTTTCAGTTAAGGAGGGGCCTCAGTAGAATTATGGGCATCTGTCAGTCTTCCCACTCCAAAGCCCTAAAGGACTCTTCTAAGGTCCTTTACGGGCAGAAGATATTGGGCAGAAAGTGCTCTTCACTGATGGACCTGACCCAGCTTTCTCTTTCCTTTGACAATGGAACCTATTTACTTGAGCAGCACTTCTGAAACACAGTTCCCCAACCTTTTCTCACCACCTCCTTTACCATTAAAACTGTCACACTCTCTCTTTACTGGTCTCTTCCCAATGCAACCCAGGGCATTTTGAAAGACTTTCTGCTTATCAAGAGAGACTAGGTAGAAAAGCCTCCTTCCTTTGCTTGGTTTCTTCCTTGTCGGAGAAAAAAGAGATTCTGCTCAGATTTATTTATGTACAATGAGTGTTTTGCCTGCATGCATGCCTGTGCCTGAATTTGTTAGAATGCATCGGAGCCCCTTGCACTGGAGTTATTTATGGCAGTGAGTCATTATGTGGGTGCTAGGAACTGAACCTCGGACTTCTGCAAGAACAGGTGCTCTTAACCACTGAGCCATGTCTCCCATCCCAGATCATGCAAAGACATGAGAATTTTGAAGTCTAGTGCCACACATAGGTCTCCAGTTTTATCTCTATGCTGGGTAGGAACTTTACAGCACGGTTGTGCTTTCTCCAGCTGATCCATACTCTCCCACTCTAGTGCCCTGCTCTATGCTTGGACAAGGATCAATGACATATGGAAGATGCACAGCCTACTTTTTCTACTGCTCACCAGTCCCTTGTTGCTCCCTGGTAGAAGACAACTGGCATTTGCTTGTCTATCTCCTTCAGGCATTAGGATTCTGGTAAATGTTTATTAAGGGCTAGCATTAGCTGTACCTCCACCATGAATGATTTTGAGGGCCATTGCTATGTCCCTGTATGGGGAGTTGGAGGCACTAAGTGGCAGGTCATTTCTTTCTTTCTTTCTTTCTTTCTTCCTTCATTCCTTCCTTCCTCCCTCCCTCTCTCCCTCCCTTCCTTCCTTTCTTTTTTTTTTTTTGGTTTTTAAAATAAGCTTTTATTTAATTTTGTAGTATGTGCATTACAGGAAACAAAGCACAAGAAGCCAAAAACAGTCTCCAAGTCACAAGCAGCTCATCTTGATGTGTCCTAGATGCTGAAAATGTACATACATTTAGCTAATTGTGATTATACAGTATGTACCATGCTTTCCCCCACATTGTGAATATTCACCTACTAAAAACCCCACACTACATGAGTATTTTGATAACCAAGAATACAACATGTCATCTCAATCTGTCAGACAAAACTGTAATCCTGTCTTTCTTGGCAACAAAACTTTCATAGCAGACAAAAATGGCAGCAGGCTTCTAGATAGAAGAATTGGCGAAGTTACAATTAAAATTCGGCATTCCCTCAATGCTCAGCTTACCAGGAAACACAAAGCAACAGACTAACTAAGTACAGCATTCCTAAGTTTATCATTAGGTCTACATACTAAAATATCAAGGTGCGTTCCTGCTCAATAAATGTATTCCTGTGGAGTACTGAATATGCACTTGCAGCTGGGGTACTCAGGATGTCAATCTCACAGGGCTGCAGATCTTGCCCTGTGAACCTCTCTGCCCCTCAGTCAGCCTAGCAACATGTATTAACTCACTGTTCAGACATGGCTTAACAACTCAATGTTTAAGAGGCACCTATGTCTCCATCAACCTATGAAGCTATACTTTTAACCGTATGCTCTCCTTTAGGACATTCATGCAGTCCAGATGTTGTGGGACGAACTTTGTGGCAGGTCATTTCTATTCCCACCTTCCCCTGCTCTCTTCTCTGGGAGTTCTGGGTTATGGGGCAAAGGTTGATGGTCTCAGTGGCTCAAGATAGAGACAACAATCAGATAATTAGGAAGCGATGGGGTTTTGAGAGTTTATCATCTTTGTTTTAAAATACAATTTATTTAATTGTAAGTTTATATAATTCAATTTTAAATAGTGGCTGCATTTAATAGTGGCCTGGCAGAATTCCTGAAAAATCTGGCCTCCTAACTGGGCCCATACAATCACAGCACTGACCCCATAGGGCAGCCTGTGGGCCTGGGTGGCTCTGGGTTCAAGAATGGATGGCTCTGTTTCTTGGAGGTTGCTCTCCCAACACTCAGAAGTTTAGAGGAGCCAGTCTCCTTGGTTTGAGGTCTTTTAGGAGACCGGATGGTTCAGAAGCAGCGGTGGGGGCTGTTGCAAACTGGAGGAAAGAGGGGTCAGTACTGTTTTGACTCCTGACTCTGCACCCCAGTTGCCTTGAGTGGAAGAGTAAGATAGGGAGCTCACAGATGCTCATCCAGGCAGTAGTGACGGATGCATCTCAGTACTGGGGTACCTAGGACAAAATGCGAATAGATTCCAGCATTGGTTTCTTAGGTCAGCCCACGCCTCCTGCCTCAGCATAACGCCACTCCCTCCCGGCCAAGTGGCTCTTGTTCTGGAGGCGGGACCGAGTTCTCCGGTGGCCCCTGGAGGCTCCAGGCTGCGAGCTCTGGGAGGCTGGGAGGGGAGTAAGGGGAGGGGCGCTGACTGGGCAGTCCAAAGAGGAGGGGGCCTTTAATAGGCTCGCCCAACGCCTGGTTTGCTGCACCGCCAGTGGCTGCGGTTAGCGAAGCAGCCCTCTACCTCGCGCCACTTCTCCACGACAAAATTTCGCCTGTGCACTTGACAGCGATCGTACTAAAGCTCCCAGAGCGCGTTTTGCTTAGGGAGGAACAGGTAGGAGGCGCGGGCTGCCCTGTGCACGCTGGCTACTCTGGGAGGAGTCTACCCGACTTGGTTGTCTGTCCTTTCTGGTAGCTGCCGTTGTCCCGGGCGTTGGTTTGTAGGCTATAAGGAGACAGTGCCTGCTGTGGGAGCCGGGCTAAGTCCCATCCCAGAGCGCGGCTGTGCGCGGCCCGGCGCCATGCTTCTGCTGGGAGTCTCAATCCTGGCTCTAGCCTGGCGACCTGCTGGCAGCTCCGAGCCAGAGTGGGAGGTGGTCGTTCCAATTCGACGGGACCCGGACATCAATGGCCGCCACTACTATAGGAGGGGTACGGAGGACTCCGGGGATCAGGGTCTCATTTTTCAGATCACAGCTTTCCAGCAGGACTTTTACCTACACCTGACACCGGATGCCCAGTTCCTGGCTCCCGCCTTCGCTACTGAGTATCTTGGTGTCCCCCTCCAGAGGCTCACCGGCAGCTCTCTAGACCTGAGACGCTGCTTCTATTCCGGGTATGTGAACGCGGAGCCAGACTCTTTTGCTGCTGTGAGCCTGTGCGGGGGTCTCCGCGGAGCCTTCGGCTACCGAGGCGCGGAGTATGTCATTAGCCCTCTGCCCAACGCCAGCGCGCCTGCGGCGCAGCGTCACAGCCAGGGCGCACACCTTCTCCAGCGCCGGGGTGCTCCTGTAGGGCCTTCTGGAGACCTCACCTCTCGCTGCGGGGTGGCCTCGGGCTGGAACCCCGCCATCCTGAGGGCCCTGGACCCTTACAAGCCACGGCGGACGGGCGTGGGGGAGAACCACAGCCGGCTCAGGTCGGGGCGCTCCAAGCGCTTCGTGTCTATCCCACGGTACGTGGAGACACTGGTAGTGGCTGACGAGTCAATGGTCAAGTTTCACGGTGCGGACTTGGAACATTATCTCCTGACGCTGCTGGCTACAGCGGCGCGACTGTACCGCCACCCCAGCATCCTCAACCCCATCAACGTCGTTGTGGTCAAGGTGTTACTCCTAGGGGATCGTGACACTGGGCCCAAGGTCACAGGTAACGCAGCCCTGACTCTGCGTAACTTCTGCGCCTGGCAGAAAAAGCTGAACAAAGTGAGCGACAAGCACCCTGAGTACTGGGACACAGCCATCCTCTTCACCAGACAGGTGAGTTGATCGACATGTCACCTTTTAGGACTCAACCCCCTTTTCTTAAGGTCATTGCGTTTAGCTCTCCAAAGTCCCTTTGTGCCAGTCAATGCTTCCTTTAAATTGGTTTCTTCAGAATTCTAGCGTTGGAAGTTCTAATTAGAGCCCTCTCCTAAGCTCAGCAGAGCTCCACCTGACATGCTTCTGGGAGGTTGGAGGAGAGTCTGCTTCTTCTGAAGGTGTTGTCCTGATGCGGCCAATCAGGGCCTTCTGGATCAGGCGCTGAGGGGCTGGAACCCAGGAAGTTGCCGCCCCTGAACTGCAGTTTGTCTTCAAGGCCCATAGGAGGCGCTATGAGGATGGTGTTGTAGATAGTGGGAATGGGAACCTCCACTCCTATGTGGGTGGCCAAATTTTCTCTTGACATCTCCTAGCAGGCTTTTGCGGGATGCAGTACTGGAAGGCGATTCAAGGTCAGTGCCTGCTACATTTCTAGTTGGCAACACATCATCCTTTCTCTGTCTTGGGCCTGAGAATTCTGGATTGAGATAGTGGGGGATCATTGTAATAGTTTGTGGGTTGCTGGGAAAGGTCAGACTTAAGCATATACTCCATTGCTGCTTCTCCCTACATCCTGCTCTGTTGGGCCTCATCAAGTGGCTTCCATGCTATTCTGAGCATGCAATCTAGTAAGGACACCTGTTTGGAACTATTTCACTTGGAGTTTCACTTAGAACTGAGCTGGGGAAACCGTCTTCCAATTTTCTCCGATCCTTATTAGTAGATGATGACCCGTTTGCTCAGCTGTAGTCTAAGCAGCAGAGCAGACAAAACCACTTATATTCCAGTCCTAAGACCCTCCTCCCTTGCGGGCAGGGCTCCCACTCTGCCCTTGCTGTGCAAGGCTGTGTGAGCGCAGTCAAAAGCATTTGGACATTCCAGCTGCAGGGCTGGGAAGACACTGTGTTGGAACTAGAGAGACAAACCCAGATGGGAGAAGATAGCCTTGTTTTCCTCATGTCTTTACCCAACCTTCCATCTCAAGAAGCTATCAACCATTGAAGGTTTAGAGCCCTAAGTGTTGACTCAAAGGTTGGGCACTACTACGATCAGGATTCCTGAAATTCTTTAGACACTGAAGGAAAAGAATCATCCAAGGGCCCCACTTTCTGTGCTTTTGGGGGCCGTGACTTGAATCCTGGCAGTGCTCTTGTTTTTTTCTTTATCATAATCCGGTACATGGTTCTTGGTTACTTCTATGCCGCAAACTCTCCTTGTTTCTAAATGGCCACTTAGAGTTGGTCTGGCGCCCACGAGCTGGAGCTGGAGTCTTCCACAGTAACCCATTTGGCACAGCTAGTTTCTTCCTGCAATAGAACTTCCTCCTTTCCCAGCTTCTTCTCCTCCCACCACCTGGTTTCTCTAGGGAGGTCTTTGGCCTGAGCCTTGCTTCCTTGTGTTCGCTCATTCTTCCAACTGAGGTCTGTTGAGCTGCCGCAGCCCAGCCTGACAAGCCCTGCTTGAGTCATGGGGAAACTGCACAAGAAGGGGTCAACTTCTGCACCCAGAGCAGCTCTGCAGTCAGATTTCTGGGAGAAAAAGCAAAGGCCAAGAACAGGATCTCTTAATGGGTAAAGCAGCTGTTGTCCCATCTGCTACCTGAGATGCCCCATGTGGAGGTCGCTCCCTGGCTCTATCTAGAATAACAGACCTCGGTCCAGTTGTTAAAGCTGAGTTTTGGAACAAGTCCTGAGAAGATGAGCCCCTGCCGGGAAAGTAGGCCATGCCATCAGAAGAAGAAGATGGCCTTTTTTGAAGAAGAAGCAATCAAACAGCACGGAGCATGGCAGCTTCTGTTTCTCAGTGGTGTGCTAGGCCCCCAGGGGGCCATGTCATCTGTGCATAATGGGTACAAGCTGCATGGTCACTTGGATCAGAAGTGGTGATGTGCCAGATGTGACTGTTCTAAGCTGTTTTTCTCTTAGGCATTTAGAGGGCAAAGCCAGAGAGCAGGGAGTCTGTGTTGGCAGGCCTATCATCAAGGTATGTGTGCCATGCTTGTATAAACACCTCCTCCCCCATCTCCCTGCCAGCACAGATTTTGGGGCCTGCTCTACTTTCAGAGTCTTAGAAAATTGTCATTCCTGAGTCACCCCCACCCCCAATCTCCCCGGGGAAGGTACAGTATTGGATGAGAACACGAACAAACAGCTGTTCTTTCTAGAGCAAGACAAATGTGATCTCCAGGAACCTTAGCTGTCCGGAAGAGAGAATACATTGATCATACAACAAGTGTTTTGACAATTGGACGAGTTTCTGTAAAGATTCAGAATAAGTTCATGGACAAAGAGTGCACATCTGATTTTGCAAAGCAGCCAGCCTCCAGGCTCATAACAGCAGGGTGAGGTCAGCCCAGGAAAGGAGCGAGGAGCTGCCGAGGATCAGAGCCAGAGTCATTCTTACTTATTTCTAAGAGGAGCACAACATCTCTGGCTTCTCATTGCACCAGTTGCAGATGCCAGGTATTTACTGCTGTGACTCAGTAGACCCCGGTTTCCTGAGTCCTCCTTGATTTTTGGTCCAGTGTCTCTGTTGTTTCAGTAACCCTTCGTGGTAAAATGGCTTTTATTCATTCACTCATACATTCTCTTGATACTTCTTGAGCATCTATGACTCCCACATACTATTCTGTCTGGAGCTGTAAATATGAATACGTTGTGGGCCCACCCTCCCCCACAAAGAGCTCTCTCCCCCCTCTCTCTCTGTGTTTGTGTGTGTGTTCACGTCGAAGAGACTGGGTGCAGAAAGGGCTCTTGGCCCCAGGAGCACTGGAGTGGGGAGAGAAGTCTGTCCCTGTGTTGTAAGTGACCTTCATTCCTTCCACCATCTGTTTCACTATTGGTGACATTTCCTCTCTTGACATGACTTCATTTTCATTTTTACGACTTGCCGTTTATGCTTTCTTCCTGCTTTTGCTCATTTTATTTCTCTTTGCTTAGAGTCGTTTCACAGAATACCCCTTCCATTTTTTAACCTTTTGTTTCCTCCTCTTTTGTGAATATCCAGGGAAACTCAACTGTCTTTATTTTATTTTTTCATTCATACTCTGAACTTTCTGCTTTCCCAACCCCAAAGTTTGGCACTGATTTTGTTTTTGTTTTTGAGCAGTGCCAGTGTGTGTGTGTGTGTGTGTGTGTGTGTGTGTGTGTGTGTGCGTGCGCGTGCGCGCGCGTGTGCCTGCCTAAATGAGTGTAGGTGCCCATGGAGGTCAGATAGGTAAGATTTCCCCTAGAGCTGGAGCTGAAGGTGGTTTTGAGCTGTTTGACATGGGGGCTGGGAACTGAACTCAGATCTTCCACAAAAGCAATATGTGCTCTTAACTGTTAAGCCATCTTGCCAGGGTCTGTGTGGGAACATGGGATGGGGTATTTTCTAGACTGTGCAAAGTGGATTATTTCAGGGAAAAGAACCTAATGTTTTCTATAAATCAAATACTTGCAGTGGGATATGCCATTTAGTGTTCACATTAAAAGCTATGAATAATAAGATGATGATTTGTGGGTTATATCCTCCTCCCAGCATGCTAAGAAGGAATTTTTGTTTCATCAGGCTCTGTTTTGAAGTCAGACTTTGGAAGACATTAAGAGAGAGGGGACATTTGAAGATTTGGTATTGTCATTTCTTAGTCACAACATAGCAGTGTGCTGCTGCTTTTGAAATGAGAAAAGGGAGGTGGGGAAAAAAGCAAAATGGTGGAATACAGTTGTTCTGTGTCTCACGGAGTGAACACGCATCTTGTCTTTTCCTACTCCAAATAAGTAAGCCTAATATTAATGGCAGAGGATGGGGCGATGGTCGGAAAATCCTTCTTTATGTGTGGCATCTTCCTATGTATTCCTCCCTCCCTCCTTTCCTCCCTCCCTTCCTCCTTCCCTCCCTCCCTCCTTTTCTTCCTCCTTCCCTCCTTTCCTTCCTCCCTTCTTCCCTCCCTCCCTTCTCCCATCCCTTCCTTCTCTCCTTCCTCCCTCCCTCCCTCCCTGTCCCCCTCCCTCCCTCCTTCCCTCCCTCCCTCCTTTTCTTCCTCCTTCCCTCCTTTCCTTCCTCCCTTCTTTCCTCCCTCCCTGTCCCCCTTCCTCCCTTCTTCCCTCACTCTCTTCCAAGCTCCCTTCTGTCCTTTCTTTCTTTACTTCCCCCCCTCTTCTTTTTAATATATTCTTACTATACAGCTCAGGTTGGCCTTAAAGCTCCTGCACTTCCTGCCTCAGCCACCAGAGTGATGGCTTCCTGTCACTCATCCCTTTTATTAAAGAGATAAAACCTGATTTATTCATTTTTTGATGTGTATAAGAGATTTGCCTGCATGTACGCATGTGCATCACATGTGTGCTTGGTGCCCTCTTAGGTCAGAAGATGACTCTGGAGTCCCTAAAACTGGAATTGTAAATGGTTGTGAGCTACCATGTGGGTGCTGGGAACTGAATGTAGGTCAATCTGCAAGAGTGATAAGTAAAAGCAATAACCAGTGAGCCATCACTCCAGCTCCATCCATTATTTTTAATCACTGGGTTAGTTAACAAGGATGATGTCTCCTACCTTAGGGATTGCTGTCTACCTTCCTTTGAACTTCGCTGTGGTTGTTTCCTTTCCTCCATACCTCAACACTCTTCCCACTGTATCTTGATTCTTTGACTTGGACACATGGTGCAATGGAAAGAATAATTGGCTTGGCATCAAGCAGAGCTGAACTTGAATCTCAGCACTTGAACTCCCTATCAATGGATTGTGAGTCAGCTCTTAGAAGTCCACTATCCTCATCTTCGGAAGGCATAGCATCATAGTCAACTTGTGCAGCCATTTGAGGATGAGCTGCCTCATCATCTAGTCTAGGCACTCCATAGTAGCAGCTATCCTTTCATTATTTTAGCAGTTGCTTTGGTTATGTTTCTTGTTCTTAAATAAGTATATACAGGTTCCTTGCCAAAATGTAAATTTGAAATAGCCTTGATTTAAAGCATTTTGTACCATTGCCCTTGCAAGTATATCATACTTGCCTGATTAATACTCTTGTGTTTATGTGGGGATTGTGGGTGCCAGCACTTGCCAACTCCTTTAAGGCAGGCATCACATATTGTCTTTTTAGCCCCTGCACAGGCCCATGCATCTGGTGGTTCATCAAGTGCCTGGAAAGTGCAGGCTACCTGAAGCTGTTGGGTGTTTGGGTACTTTGCCTCTGCCTGAGGACCATTAATCCAGCTTTCAGGCTGTCAGACTGCAGTGTTGATTTCTTCTGGCATTTCTTCTTGGCTCTCTGCCGCCAGGCTTTGCCCTAGAGGAAGGTGGGGCCCCATCAAGGAGCATGTTAATCCACCCTGGAGTCAGTAGACAGGGTGCACAACCAGGACAGGGTCAGTGTGTCAGTGCAGGTGTGGGGCAAGGAGCCAGCAGCTTGCTCAACCAGCATGGCCTCAGCAGATGCTGTTGTTAACACTTAATCTAGCCAGTTCTCTCTCCCTGGGACTCTCCTCACCTATGGTCACCAGCACTGTCTTGACCTGGAGGGTGGGGGCTGGGGGTGATTTTTTCCCTCTTGAATATCTTCTGTACCTTCATTCTTGGAGTAGATGACCTCCAGAAGCAATAAGGAATCATGCCCAGGGGCTACACTCCCTATCTTTCAACCTCTGTTCTCCCTAACTTGGGGCTCTGTGCAACCCTGGGATAATTTCATACTTAATGCATGTCTCTTCTGTAAAACAGAGTTTAGTAATGGCATATCTTCCGAAGGGGGATTCATTGAGTAATTCAAGTAGAGCTTTTGCTGCAGTGTCTGGGACACTGTGGTCACTCAGTAACTGCTAGCTGTCATCATATAGTTGACAAGTACATTCTCCTGAAGTGCTAGCTTCTAGAGACGGTCTGCATTCCTACACGTGTTGGCTTCTGTTCTTCCTCAGTGAGGCAGTTCTTGTCCTTGGACTAGTCTAGTCCCTTGGGCAATAGGATTTTCTACTTCTGGAAGGACTTATATGATGGTGATACCATATTTGTTAATAGGAATAGTCCACCCTTCAGGCTTCACTGCCTACCTGTTTCTTTTCTTGGTTGCAAGAGCTCTGAATTGCTAGATTTCACTTCTGGAAAAGCAAAGCCATCATTAGAAATTGTAAACAAATGGATTTTGTGATGGACAAAATATATGGTTATACATGGCACAGATTTATGTGGGAAACAAGTCAGGGGCCCAGTTAATGCTTTCTGTTGGTGATCATGGTATCCTTCCCAGTAGGATACAATTTGGAGCAAAGAACACTGTTGGGCTGGCCTGAATGTCAAAAGCTATGATTTTAAGACTCAGAGCTTCGCTTAATGAATAGTACATGGCCTTGGGTGTGCAACCTCATCTCATCTGCAAAATGAGAGGTTGGTTTTGAAGTTCTCTGATGGTTCTGGACACTGGTATGTGGTTCTTACAATGAACCTTGGCTCAGGACTTGGTTATATAACACATAGATTTTTTTTTCCTCTCCCAAATTAAAACATTAATGTACTTGGGTTTTGTGGTTCCCCTTCCCCTTTCCCCCATGCTGCTGGGAAATAGTGTCCCAGTACTTATGTGTGCAGCAGAGGAGGTGAGGAAAACGTCCACAGGGATGTAGAATTTGCACAGTGGTTGTGTGTGGGGAGCAACATTGGTAAAGAGGTATCTGGTCATCACTAAGTGCCAGCCTTGTTTACATAAAGCTCCAAACCTAACTAGGAAAAGTTAGGAAAGCAGAGTCCAGGAGGATCATGTTTTTGGCTAAGATGATTCTTGGATCCTCTGGAAAAGCAGCCGTGACTATAAGAGAAATGACAAATTGCCAGAAATAGTGAATCAGGTAGGGACTTTCCCAGCAGAAAGAAACAAGGCAGTGTCTATATTTTAGAGACTGGTGCCTGAGCTAGAGAGGTTAAAGCGATTGGAGTGGTTCTGAGTTCATTCAAGGGTGGAGACATGCCGTGCCATAAATGAGGTACAGCTGGGCACTGTACAAATGCCTGTGGGCGTTCAAAGCTCCATATCTCATTCGTCATTTGCTTCCTTGATTGGGTGAAGGGGGCAGAACTTCTGACCCTAGCAGCATGTCTTCCCACCCTGAAGATGCTGGTGATGAGGGCCCTCTGTCCCCTGCTATGCCCTTCCACACAGAGACTTTGCTGGCTTTCTATGCTCCCTTTGTTTAATCCATGAAGCTGAGGTTTCTCGATAGAAAGAACAGGTTGCTTCTGCTCAGGAAGGGCCTACAGTTAAGCAACTTCCTGTAGGAAGGAGAATCTACTCTCTAAAGAGGAAAGATGCCTTGCTCAAGAGACCTCCCCACTGTAGAGTCTGCTACAGGGAAGTTAGAGTCCCATGTGAGCTCTCCCTCTGGTAGGGTCCTAGGGGCAGTGTGGGGAGGAGCAGGGGCAGAGGAGCCTGCATCTTCCTGTGAGTTGTACTGCTTGGCATGCATCAGAAGATTAGAGGCCCCTTACTGTTCATTCTGTTCTAAAAGTAGGTCATGCTGTGTGTTCCTGTCATACCAACAGGGCCAGGAGGGGCTGAGCACTTAGCATTGGAGAAGGAAGGAGAAGGGGCTCAAGATGGTGCAAGTTCTGGTTGAGAACTGGCTCTTCCCCAGAGCAGCAAACTGAGCCCTTAAGGAGAAGAGGCAGTTGGCCAGAGACACACAGCGACTTAGCAATGGGACCTACTCTCTTGGTTCTCATTTCTGAGTCCCTTGCTTGAGGTCAGCCTGAGTGTGTGGGTGGCCTGGAAGCCACAGAGTGTGCTTGTCCTAGAAGCTGCAGGCTTTAACCGTAGGGCTGAGATCTCAGATCACCACCTCCGGTAATTAGGATTGGTGCTTTAGCGTCCAAAGACATATGGGTGCTTTGGCCTAACCCCTTGTCTTAAGGAGTTAAGATATATATTAAGAAATAACATAAATACTATGTGTTTCTTCCACTTTCCCTCCTGTCCCAAGCTTGTCTGTGATCTTTTGATAGGGGTTATTTCTTAGGTTATTAGGACTCTAGGGAGGAACTTTCTGGGAGATGAAGTCTTTGAAAAGGGAAGGAAGGGAATTGAGGTCTCTTATGAAGTTCCTGGAAGTGGCATACCATTCACACAGGCAGTAAAACAAAGGGAGGGCATGCATAACGCCTGTCCCTGACTCTGGCACCTCAGGTTCAGGCTGGTCACCCTCACAGTTTTCTCTGGCCAGAAAAACTGTTAACTCATTAGATGTGATTATCACCTGACCATGGGAAGCCAAGTTTGACTGCTCGGGTGGTAAACTTCTGAGTGCTTTGGATTAAGTTTTTGCTGATTCTCTCTGTACTATGACCACTTTCTTCTCATGCCTTCTAGCCCCACTAACCCTGTTGCTTCCCACTGCCCCCCCCAGATCAGCATATGCATACACACACACACACACACACACACACACACACACACACACACACACACACACGGAGACAGGACAGAAAGAGACACACAAAGGGAACAAAACTGAGTAGAGATCACATGTCTGTTTACCTTGACCTCTTGGTCATCAAGTGTTGCTGAGCCAAATCCCCAGTCATACAGACCCTTCACTTGTGACTCTTTTGTGTGACTTGAGTCTCCCCAAGCATCAGCTTCTCTGTCTGTGGGAGGGGATAACTAGTCATTACTTCAGTGGACTGCAGTGAGGATTAGATAGGTTATACATGTGAAATTTGTGCATGGTGTTAGCTCTTAGTGAACCATGGCCCTGATTAGTTATGATCACTGGCCTTTGTTTCTTCCTTTTGCAAATAGATATGATATATCTGCCTCCTAAGACTGTTGTAAGGACCAAATCTCCATATGTTTTAAAGACAATGACAGGAAGAAGAGTATGTTAGTGTGACCTTCTGAGAGGACCAAATTGTATATGAGTGTTATCCATTTCCAACTTCTGGGTTCTCAAGGTTTCTAGATGCTTCTGTGGCCTATAATACTGCGTAAAGCTTTTGAGATTTCCAACCATGGAGTCCCATTTTTCATTTTAGCATCCTCTGGATATACTTCCTAATACAATGTGCTGCTGCGAAGCCTAGCTTCTGCACCATCAGGCTTTTAGATAGAGAAGAGGGACCCTCCCACTTAGGTGATGATCTCTATCTTTTATCTCCAGCAGCCCGTCAGCTCATGTTTCCCTTGAGCTTTGGTAGCTCATTAAACTGTGTATAGACAGTGGCTCATGTCCACCCCTCTCTGCTTCCTGTCAGCTCAAGTAAGCCAAGTCTCTGGCTGGGGTAGATCCTTGGCCGGCCAGCCTATGGCTGGGAATCTGAACTTAATTCATAGTTGTCCAAGAGGCAGCCACTCAACAAAGACAGAGATGGCTCAGAGCTGCCCATGGATGGGGAACATGGTTGCTTTTTACCCCCACATGCCTCAGAGAGCTATGATCAGAACCCCACCCTGCTGTGGGAGTCATTATTTTTCTGACCTTCTCTAAATAAAGCTGTGGCCCTCGTAGTCTAATTTTGTACCTCCTAATTTCCTCCCACAGGACTTCCCTGTGTTGGGTACAGTCTTCTCAGTGAGCCACAAGCTTTCTTCTTTGGGCCATGTCCTTTAACCTGGGCTGATTTCATGAATAACCCCACAAGCTTTTAGCAAGAAAGAGCTGGCTGAAAGATGCTGGGGCTGGATGGCAGCTCCAAGGCCCATAGGATGCCATTTATTTTCTTCAGGCTCCTTCTGTTACCATCTCTAACTTTAGTCTGGCTTTGCTTCTCCTCCACCTGGCAGGACCTATGTGGGGCTACCACCTGTGACACCTTGGGCATGGCTGATGTGGGTACCATGTGTGATCCCAAGAGAAGCTGCTCTGTCATTGAGGATGATGGGCTTCCATCAGCCTTCACCACTGCCCACGAGCTGGGTAAGCCTGGAGGGGAGGGAAGGTGACCTCTGGGATTGACCTGGATTTGTTTTGGGTGCTTTGATGAGAGAGGAAATGTTTATATTTGATTCTCATATTTTGGAGCTGTAGGAATCCATTCTTGGGGCCAGCATCTGCCTTGGCATTGGCTTTAATTTTTTCTGATTGCTGTAGCCCAGTTGACACTTGGGTACTTTGGGGAAAATACCTTAAAGGCAAGGTAACACCCTGCTGTTCTTACCTGGCTCATGGCCTGATGGAGAAGATGGGAGACACAAGCTTGTATCCTCCAAGACACAAGTTAGTTCCTAGGACATCAACAAAGAAGACAATGGATAGATGCCAATAATGAGCTTGAAAACCATCATAGGGTTTTCTTGCTTCTCCCATTTGCTCTTGTAGTGCTTCTTGTCTGTGCTCAGTCTTTTGCTCCTGCCTCCTGAATCCTCCTGTTTCACCCTACAGGCCATGTATTCAACATGCCTCATGACAATGTGAAGGTGTGCGAGGAGGTGTTTGGGAAGCTCAGAGCCAACCACATGATGTCTCCCACACTCATCCAGATTGATCGTGCCAACCCCTGGTCAGCCTGCAGTGCTGCTATCATCACTGACTTCCTGGATAGTGGGCATGGTAAGTCAGGGGACAGAGAGGAGCAGGAGTGGGAAGGCTTTCACCGCTGTCCTTGGTGGTAGTGTTCATCACCTCTTTAAATGTCTTCTGTACCTGAAAGATGACAAAGAATTGGACTCTGATATGGGTCTATTCTAGTTGCCCCTTACTTTACTTTTCCTCTACCATTTAGATTCTAAGCCAGCCAGGCCTCCCTTTCCCCAGCTTATCCTAACAAATGTCCTTGGATCTGTGCAGGTGACTGCCTCCTGGACCAGCCCAGCAAGCCCATCTCCCTGCCTGAGGACCTGCCTGGCACAAGCTACAGTTTGAGTCAGCAGTGCGAGTTGGCCTTTGGGGTGGGCTCTAAGCCCTGTCCATATATGCAGTATTGTACAAAGCTGTGGTGCACTGGCAAGGCCAAGGGGCAGATGGTATGCCAGACCCGCCACTTCCCTTGGGCAGATGGCACCAGCTGTGGTGAGGGCAAGTTCTGCCTCAAGGGGGCCTGCGTGGAGAGACATAACCCTAACAAGTACCGGGTGAGCTCTCATGTCAGAGAATGCTGGGAGAGGGATGGGCCTGGGCCTCCATTGCCTTGGTCTTCAATCTTGGTCTTCAATGGAAACTGCTGGTCTCACTATGACTGTGCCACATTGCATTGTGCCTCTGTTTCTGTCTGTGGTCTCTCTCTGTCTCTCTCTTTTGTGTGTGTATGTGTGTGTGTGATATATATATATATATATATATATATATATATATATATATATGCATGTGTATGCTTTTCCAGAGATTTATGTCAAGTTGTTTTCTTCAATGATTTTCCACTTATTTATTTATTTGGGTCTGTCATTGAATCTAGAACTTTCTAATGATCCCATGGGTTATATCTGTCTCTGCTCTGTAACACTGAAGTCACAGGCACCCATCACACCTAACTTTTATGTGAATGCTGGAGGTCTGAACTTAGGTCTCATACTTGCATAGCAAACACTTTATCCACTGAGCCTCCTCCCCAGTCCTCTGTTCTTTTTTGACACTAAGACTAGAGAAATACTACAGTAAGCCAGGCTTTGCAAACATGATAAAGCCTTTGGCAGGACTTCTCCAAGTCCTGGGCTTTCTTGTGTAGGGAGGCTGGTGCTCTGGGATAGAGCTGAAGGTCTGACCATGAGTCTTAGCTGTCTGACTCTGTCTTTCTTCCCTCATCAACCACTTCCATATCCAGGGAGGTGGGATCACACAGATGAACCAGGTATGGGATGAAATGAAGGAAAACCCTGGGCATCGTGAGCTCAGCTACAGTTGTGCTTTTATTTATTTATTTATTTATTTATTTATTTATTTATTTATTTAATTGGCTGAAATATAATTGAACAAAAGCTTGCCCCAGATTAACAAGATTATCAATTAAGCTGGACCAAGTACAGCAAAAATAATTCTCTGACTGTAATTCACAATTTATATTCTTTCCCCCCTTTTTAAATTTGAATTTGAAAGAAAATTGTTTTACATGTCAACCCCAGTTCCCTTACCCTCCCCTCCTTCCCTATCACCCTCACCAAACCCCAGCCAATCCCCTTTCTGCTTCCCAGGAAGGGTGAGGCCTTCCATGGGGAGTTTTCAAAGTCTGTCATAACTTTTGGAGCAGGGCCCAGGACCTCCCCCATGTGTCTAGGCTGAGAGAGTATTCCTCTATGTGGAATGGGCTCCCAAAGTTCATTCGTATGCTAGTGATAAATACTGATCCATTATTAGAGGCCACATAGACTGCCCAGTCCTCCTAACTAACACCTACATTCAGAGATCTGGGTCAGTCCTATGCTGGTTTCCTAGCTATTAGACTGGGGTGCATGAGTTCCCCCTTGTTCAGGTCAGCTGATTCTGTAGGCTTCTCCAGCCTGGTCTTGACCCCTTTGTGCATCACGCTTCCCTCTCTGTAACTGGATTCCAGGAGATTAGCTAGTGTTTAGCTATGGGTATCTGCTTCTGCTTCTATCAGCTACTAGATTAAGGCTCTAGGATGGCATATAAGGTAGTTGTCAATCTCATTATTGTGGAAGGGCATTAAAGGTAGCCTCTCCACTATTTCTTAGATTGTTAGTTGGGGTCATTCTTGTAGATCTCTGGGCATTTCCCTAGTGCCAGATTTTTCCTTAAATCTATAATGACTTCCTCTCTCTATTATGGTATCTCTTTTCTTGTTCTACTTTATTCTTTCCCTTTCTCAATCTTCCTGTTCCTTCATGCCCACCTCTCCCCTCATTTTATCCCCTTTTTTTCCTCCTAACTCCCTCTCCCCTCCCTCCATGCTCCCAATTTGCTTGGGAGATCTTGTCCTTTTCTCCTTCTGGGAGGGGGACCATGTATGCCTCTCTTAGGGTCCTCCTTGTTTCCTTGCTTTTCTGGTGGTGTGAATTGGAGGCTGGTAATCCTTTGCTCTATGTTTAAAATCCACATTTTAGTGAATACATACCATGTTTGTCTTTTTGTGACTGGGTTACCTCACTCAGGTTCCATCCATTTTCCTGCAAATATCAGGATTCCATTGTGTTTTTCCACTGAGTAGTACTCCATTGTGTAAATGTATCACATTTTCTCCATCCATTCTTTAGTTGAGGGACATCTAGGTTGCTTCCAGGTTCTGTGTATTACAAATAATGCTGTTATTAACATAGTTGAACAGATGTCCTTGTTGTATGAATGTGCATCTTTTGGGTGTATGCCTAAGAGTGGAATTTTAGGATCTTGAGGTAGACTAATTCCCATTTTCTTGAGGAACTCTCATACTGATTTCCAAAGTGGGTGTACGATTTTGTACATCCACCAGCAATGGAGGAGTGTGCCCCTTTCTCTACATCCTCTCCAGCATAAACTGTCTTTGGTGTTTTTGGTTTTAACTATTCTGACAGGCGTAAGATGGTATATCAGAGCTGCTTTGATTTGCATTTTCCTGATGGCTAAGGATGTTGAGCATTTTCTTAAGTGTCTTTCAGCCATTTTAGATTTTTTTTCATTGAGAATTCTTTATTTAGTTCTGTACTCCACATTTTAATTGGATTATTTGGTGTTTTGGTAACTAGCTTCTTGAGTTCTTTGTATATTTTAGAAACCAGTCCTCTGTCAGATGTGTGGTTGGTGAATATCTGTTCCCATTCTGTGGGCTGCCATTTTGTCTTTGACTGTGTCCTTTGCTTTATAGAAGCTTTTCAGTTTCAGGAGGTCCAATTTATTAATTGTCAATCTACAGGTGTTATGTTCAGGAAGCTGTCTCTTGTACCAATTTGTTCAAGGGTACCTCCCATTTTTCTTCTAAGAAGTTCAGTGTGTCAGGGTTTATGTTGAGGCCTTTGATCCATTTGGACTCAAGTTTTGTGCATGGCAATAGACATGGGTCTATGTGTAGTCTTCTACACACCAGTATCCAGTTATGCCAGCACCATTTGTTGAAGATGCTTTCTTGTTTCCATTGTATAAATTTAACTTATTTGTTAAAAGTCAAGTGTTTATAGGTGTGTAGGCTAATATCAGGATTTTAAATTAGATTTCATTGGTCTACCTGTCTATTTTTGTACCAATACTAAACTGTTTTCAGGACTTTAGAATTATAATAGAGTTTGAAGTTAGGGATGGTGATGTTCCCAGAAGTTTCTTTATTATACAGGATTGTTTGGGTTATCCTGGGTCTTTTGTTTTTCCACATAAAGTTGAGGCTTGTTCTTTTAAGGTCTGTGAAGAATTGTGCTGGGATTTTGATGGGGATTGCATTGAATCTGTAGATTGCTTTTGGCAAGATTGCCATTTTTACTATGTTGATCCTACCTATCCTAGAGCATGGGAGATCTTTCCATTTTCTGGTATCTTCTTTAAGTTCTTTCTTTACCCAATTTATATTCTTTAGGTCTCATGTTAGGAAAACAAAGAAACATGTACTTTGACCCAGGAGAGAACTGCCCCTTTCTTACCCTTGTTCATAGTTGGGAGAAGACACAATACAGAGTTTCAAAGAAACAACCTTACAAATAATTGTTTACCAAGAATCCAACCCATCCATTTTCTAGAAATGGATGTGGTACAGAATTATTTTCTTAAAATCTTGTTTTTGTGACTTGAGAATATGTATTTAACTAAATCTTTAACTACTTACTAGGCCAAATCCATAGAGTTCAGGGGTTAAGGAAACCTTTGTGATGAGAAAACAAAATATAATGCAGGCTGTCAGAAACCACAGTCTTGTGTGAGTTGTCATCAGGGTACAAGACAGAGGTGTGTGTTCTGTGTTAGGAAAGATGGGTGCAGTGCATCATGGAAGAAGTGAGGGTGGAAGATTAAGAACAACCGGAGGTTACTGAGGAACCTTTGAGGAGGAGGAAAGCTTTGAGGGACAGCAGGCTATGCTATCAATGGGTAGAGTGGGCAAGGCCAGAAGTGGGCAAAGTGAAAGATGGTGACAACAGGCTGTTTGCTATACCTTTAGGTCAGCAGCTTGGGAGCAAGGTTGTATTCAGCTTGATGGTCAAGCTGATGAGCTCAGACTAGAAGGTTCTGAGGACAGGTGTGTCATAACCAGCTTCATTTCTCCAGAAGATGGGTCCAGAGGATGCTGGATGTAGGTAGCATCGCTAGGACACATATTCTCTCCACTATAATCTCAACCACTTTTCTGAGCAGCTACTTCACCACCCTGTGAGCTGAAACCTGTCCCTTCATGAGGAATATTACCCAGACTAGCCAAAGCCCACTGGCTTATCCTATAAATGACTGCAGCCTTGAGGAAGTCCTTCAGCCTTCCTACTCTTAGCATCTGCCCAACCACAGTGTCCCATCTTCGCACTTATCTCCATGTAGGTTTTGGATTGCAGAAACTCTTCAGTCTGGATCCGTATTTGCTTGTACAACTGTCTTTCCCTGTTTCCTTCTCATGCCCCTACGTCTTCCCTGTTTCACCGAGAGACTGCAGCCCATTGTTAAATATCCCCCACCCCATCCCTCCTTGTCACAATCTCTTAGGTTAGTCACTACCTTGGTTCAGTCCAGTTCTATGTGTGCCTGCATAGGTGAATGTGGCTGGAGTAAAATGTGCAACTGTGCTCAATGGTCTCAGTTTATATGAAAAACCTGGAAACTCAAAACGGCCGATAATGCATGTGGGGGACAGAGCTTAACCTTGGATGCCATTCCTTGTGCATACTAGATAAGCTGTGTGCCCCTGAGCCTCATCTCCAGCTCTGAACTATTTCTATGTTTAAGTGAATCTTGGCAAGTCCGTTTGGACACCTGATAAACATTTTAAACATGGCAGCCATAAAACTGGGCTCCTCACCATATCCCCTAAACCTGCTTTGGCAACCGCACCTTCCACTTGTTTATGCCAAAACCCATTTGCTCATACACTTAACATCTGATATCTCAGCAATTCCCATTGACCCTGTATTCAAAGTCGACCCAGAACCTCATTTCTCACTACTTCTTTGCTGTCAAACTGTTCCAGGCCACATTCCCTCTCCTCTGGAATTTGGCAGTTTCTCCACATCTGCTCTCTACATTTCTGTTCTTACAGACTGTCGTGAACAGAGCAGCCAGTGGGATTCTTTTAAAATAGGAATTAGGCTGTAACACTTTGCTGCTTGCACCCTACAGGGCCTTCTTACTCAGCTTGAAAGGAGATAGCTTAGTCTCTGCTTCCACTGTGTACTTTTTGATTTCCTGCCTACTCTGCTGTGATGACACTGAACCCTCCATGCATCCTTTCTTGCCCGCATGTCTTGCTTCCCCGGCTTGGAATGCTCTTTCCATAGTTCCTACCCAGTCCATACCCATAGCTCTTTGAGGCAGGTGCACGTCTGAGAACCCAGCAGCCTCTTACACAGATCAGTCTACCTCACAAAGGCTTTTGTTAGCACTATTGCCTCCTACTTTTAACCTCATCAGACACACACAGACTCCAGCTCGTTTTTATTGTCTGTCTTCCTCTCACTGGGCTGTGGCAGCTTTCAGGACAAGGACTTGCTGCGTCTAGTGCCAGATATATAGAAGGAAGTCAGCAAATATGTAGTGAATGAATGGATGATTGGCAGGTGCACAATGGAAGTTTTTGTACAAACTGGTGGAAAACGTTCTATCAAATAGATATTGTCTAGAGTTCTGGATACTGAAGAGAAGGTGCAATACAAAGGCCTAGGCATGGCCACTCCTTCTTTAGATGGTCATTGCTGACTTTAGAGAGAGCACCTTGGTGAGGGGCTACCCACGTGTGGGAGGCTACTATGTGTAGGCTTCAGAGAAGCTCCGATCAGAGAAGAACAGACACAGAGATGACTCTCAGTACATGAAGGAAGGAATGTTAGCACTTCATGCAAGTAGTTCCTGCCTAGGACCATGTAGTCTGGACACATCATGGATGCTCTGTGAGTGACAGCTGTATTCCCAGCTCAGACATTTCTCTATGCCCAGCTGACACTTGCTCAGGGAGTGAGGAGCCATTGTACTATCAATCCAAATAACACAATGAAGATTATAAATCCTTTGTCCTCTTAAACAAATGAACAAACAAACAAATGAACAATTCACTGTGTGATTTATCCCAAAGCTGGACAGCAGCTTAGGGCTGCTTCATCCTCTCTAACACATGTTCTCTCAGCACAAATGTTAGCATTGCTGGTACATGTGCTGCCTTGGATTTTCTCAAAGGAGGACCTGATGGAGGTCAGAATCATTCTGGTTTGCTAGAAAGTCAAAATGATAGAACATTTCCACATGAAAATGTTACAGCCCCCATGGCAACATTGTGTATTGACTTTGTTGTTGGTTGTACCTGCCCAAGGTTGGAGATGACTGTAGATACACTAACTCCATTCAGGGAAGATGTTGAAATCCTTCACAGAGGCAGGCCAGGGGCTTTCATACATGCCACCCAATTTGAGTCTTCCAATCAACCCCAGATCTGAGTGTTTCTGGTCTCTTTTGGTATAGGTGAAACCTAAGGAGGTTTGTCTACCAGCTAAGCCCACTCCTGTGGAAAGGGCAGAGGCAGTTGTAACACTCGTTTGATTGACTGGCTTCACAGCCTAAGGCACCTCTTCCCAGAACTCTCACTTCTCACTGGGAACGGTTGGTGTTTGCTGATGAATCGGTTTAAGTGTTGGGTGGGTCTTGAACATACAGACTGTTTGCTTATCATGTTTTTTCAAACCTCATGATACAAAGTGGACTTCATTCTATTGCGGTGGGCTGGGAACTGATAGGTTTTACTGGGAGCTTCTGTAGGTGAGGGGCTGGGTGTGGCACCTGAGCCTGCTGAAGTATAACTTTCTCTTCCACCCAGGTGGATGGTTCTTGGGCCAAGTGGGAGCCTTACGGCCCCTGCTCTCGCACCTGCGGTGGGGGCGTGCAGCTGGCCCGGAGGCAATGCAGCAACCCCACCCCTGCCAACGGTGGGAAGTACTGCGAGGGAGTGAGAGTGAAATACCGATCTTGCAGCCTGGAGCCCTGCCCCAGCTCAGGTGAGACACAGCACAGCAGTAGCCCGGGCCTCTGGGCTGTGTGCCTGAAGGTCAGTTCTTGCAATCAAGAGCTCAATTCGCAGGAAAGAGCCTGGAATGAGTAAAGTGCAGACTGCCCTTGGCATCATTCCTTTAGCCGTTCAGCTTTGGCAAGGGTGCTTTCTTCTTGCTGCTCAGATGGGAGGCTAACTGGTGCAAGGGATGGGCCTCTAGAAGTTTTCATAGTTTATTACAAGCCTATCTTTTAAGCAGGAATCCAGGGGCCATGAACTTTGTGGGGGAAATTTACATTTTAATTTCCAAAGATGCTTCTAGCTAAACATAGTCCCTCTTTAAATTAGAAATTTAGTACTTTATTTTGAGACAGGGTCTTATTGTATATCCCTGGCTGGTCTGGTACTCACAAAGATCTGTCTAAAGAGTTCTGAAGTTAAAGGCTTGCACCGCCATGCCCAGCGCAGCACCTTCAAATTCACCTTTCTATCTAAAATTCATTATTTCCTTCACTTCGGCAACAAAGGACAACAGCAGTATAAGTACCTGTGACTTTGTCATCAATTGAAACTGTGAATATTTTTACATAATACTTCAACTGTTGAAGAATTCTTAAAATGCCATGATGTTCATCCTAACCTCAAAACTCACAGCAGTCATCATTGAGTATTGTTTTATTTTTAAATGCACTACAAAGAGCACATACCTCAGAAGTATGTTACAAAGTATATTGATAGTTGCTCATCAATAGAACTGGTGTTCTTGTAAATGATGTGATTTGTGTAATGCAATTAACAATCTAATGAGAAGAGATGTAATAGGTTTCATTATCCAAAGATCATGTTCGGACACCCACGATAGAGGGAATTTGAGACTAGATACTGGAGAAGGTGGCACATTGCTTATTGTGCACTGTATCTTTTGGCTCCAGGCACCTTTAATATTTTAAGATAGGGGTGACTGTCACATGTCAGAGGGGTGTTTAAGCTGGGCACCTCTGGTAGAGATGCTGTCTTTTGTACCTTTCTTGGCTCCTCTTCTTAGCATCCTTTTTTATGTGCTTTCTTCTTATCCAGCCTCTGGCAAGAGCTTCCGGGAGGAGCAATGTGAAGCTTTCAATGGTTACAATCATAGCACCAACCGGCTCACCTTAGCTGTAGCATGGGTACCCAAGTACTCAGGTGTGTCACCTCGTGACAAATGCAAACTCATCTGCCGAGCTAATGGCACTGGCTACTTCTATGTGCTAGCACCCAAGGTGAGTGTGCAGGAATAAGGGGGCAGAGGCTTGTCTTCACAGAGCACCTCATTGAACTGCCCCTCTCTTCTTTCTCTGGGGATAATGCAGGTGGTGGATGGTACCCTGTGTACTCCTGACTCCACCTCAGTCTGTGTCCAAGGCAAGTGCATCAAGGCTGGTTGTGACGGGAACCTGGGCTCCAAGAAGAAGTTTGACAAATGCGGAGTGTGTGGTGGAGACAACAAGAGCTGCAAGAGAGTCACAGGACTTTTCACCAAGCCTATGTAAGTTCTGGACCCTGGAGGGTACAGGCAAGGGAAGGGAAGTGGTCTGGTAGATATGGAATTACTCCTGGGCATTGAAAGTTTGGGTTAGGATGGAAGAAATGTTAGAATATGCATATCATTACTGTTGAGGACACTCATACTCTTTTTGGGCTGATAATTCCGTCTATGTATCCACCCATGTATTTACATATCCATCCATTCAGCTAGCAAAGATGGATGCATGAAGACACACCCCCAACAAGAGATGAGATGGAAATGTTGTTAGGATCTGTCTAGAATTCTAGAGCTGGACTGTGCTGGCTAGTTTTATGTCAACTCAAGTAAGAGTTATCAGAGAGGAGGGAGCCTCAGCTGAGAAATTGCCTTCATAAGATCAGTCTGTAGGCAAGCCTCTAGGACATTTTCTTAATTAACGATTGATAGGGGAGAACCCAGCCTATGGTGGATAATGACACATCTGGGCTGATGGTCCTGCTTCTAAGAAAGCAAGTGGAGCAAGCTAGTAAGCAGCACTCCTCCATGGCTTCTGTATCAGTTCCTGCTTCCAGGTCCCTGCCCTATTTGAGTTCCTGTTCTGACTCTCTTCAATGATGAACAGTGATATGGAAGCCTAAGCCAATTCCCCCTGGCCTCCCTGAGCTGCTTTTGCTCAGGGGGTTTCATCACAGCAATAATTACCCTAACTAAGAAACGGACAGAGGTGTTTTCCGATCTCAGTTCTCTCTGACTTCTGCATGACCTTGGGCAATGATTTATTCTTCCGTTGTCTAGACACCCATTTGTAGATGAATTTCATATTCAGTCCCATGAGGAGTAAGGAACTTAATTTTAAAAAGGTAATACAGTGCCTGTTATACATGCTTAACACATTCATAAGGGAAAAGAGGTAGCATGTGACAGCCGTGTGCTCTTGGGGGACTTGAGGTCCTGGGCCTGGGGATTGAGAAGAGAATGAGTGGAGTCCCCACTTCTAGGGAAGTGTACCCCATAATTAGCATCTTTTAGTTCAAACTCCAGTGTCTGTAGCTCAGCAGTTGGAACTTCAAGAGGTTGACCACACCATCCTTTGGAAGTCCCAACCTATGTTCTGGAAGAAGCAGGGTGAGCAAGAGTACTGGAGACCTCAGTTGGGAGCTGGGTGTATGGTTAGCCTAAAAATTCACGGGTCCAAGTGCTGAAGATAGAAAGATGAGATGGGCTTCCTAGAGTTGACTACCTCTTCTGGACATTACATCCTCTATTGAGCCCCTAGGGGTGATGCACCAGGAAATCCCCCAGCTCCTTTTCCTGAGCTCAGTTGTTGCTGATGCAGAATTTTTGAAGCTGCCTTTCTGAAGGACATGCAGTAGGGTGGTTCCATGTAGAGTCAGAGGAACTGGATGGAGCCTGAGAAAGCATCTACCTTAACTCACACTGTGTGGATGAGGATGTAGGGACCCAGAGCAACCAGCTGATTTACTTAAAGGGGTCTGATCTCTGAGTCAAGGCACTGACTTTGACTCTAAGGTCATTACTCTGACTTCACCCAACAACTAACCTTGGACTTGAGCACTGTACACTTACATCTTGTCTGTGCTCCTCCTAATAGCTGATGCCTATCGAGTCCTCTGTGTCAGGTGCTTTGCTTTGTTACTTATGTTCTGTGGGCTTCTTTTCCCTGGGATAGTTCTATGGTATGTGTGCATACGAACTCTATTTTTCTTTTCTTTCTTTTTTTAATTTTTTAAATTTCATTTTATATTTCAACCACAGTTCTCCTTCCCATCCCTCCTCCGACCCTCCTGACCTCCCTCCCAGCCCACCTCCCATCCACTCCTCCCATGGGGAGTCAACAAAGCCTGGAACATTAAGTTAAGGCAGGACCAAGCCCCTTCCCTCTTCATTAAGACTAAGCATGGCACCTCACCATAGGCAATGAGCTATGAGCTCTATTTTTCATGGATGAGGAAACAGCTTTAGAGATGTTGACAGGTATCTAAGATCAATAGCAACACTAGGTCCTACAGCCTAGGCTTTCAGCTTTCTGACAGCCCTGGATGGTGGTGGTTAAGTACCCTTACCCTCTACCACAGTTTTTGTGATGTATTCCAAACCCACAACCAGTTACTACTTTGAAGGGGGATAAAGATGCTCAAGCATCTGTATAACGTGCAATCTCTTTACTCTAGGCATGGCTACAATTTTGTAGTGGCCATCCCTGCAGGCGCCTCCAGCATTGATATCCGCCAGCGTGGCTACAAGGGGCTCATTGGGGATGACAACTACCTGGCACTGAAAAATAGCCAAGGCAAATATCTACTCAATGGACACTTCGTGGTATCTGCTGTAGAACGGGACCTGGTGGTAAAGGGCAGCCTACTACGGTACAGCGGCACTGGCACTGCAGTAGAGAGCCTACAGGCTTCTCGACCCATCCTGGAGCCGCTGACTGTGGAGGTCCTGTCTGTGGGTAAGATGACGCCGCCCCGAGTGCGCTACTCTTTCTATCTTCCCAAAGAGCCTCGGGAGGACAAGTCCTCTCGCCCCAAGGACCCTCGGGGTTCCCCAGTGTTGCGCAACAGTGTTCTCAGCCTTTCCAACCAAGTAGAGCAGCCAGACAACAGGCCTCCTTCACGTTGGGTGGCAGGCAGCTGGGGGCCTTGCTCGGTGAGCTGTGGTAGTGGCCTACAGAAGCGAGCAGTGGACTGCAGGGCCTCCCCGGGGCAGCGTGAAACCTCTGCTTGCGATGCAGCCCATCGACCAGTGGAGAAACGAGCCTGTGGGGAACCTTGCCCCACCTGGGAGTTCGGCAACTGGTCACCCTGTTCTAAGAGCTGTGGCCGTGGATTTAAAAGGCGTCCGCTCAAGTGTGTGGGTCATGGAGGCAGGCTGCTGGCTCGGGACCAGTGTGACCTACGCCGCAAGCCCCAGGAATTGGACTTCTGTGTCTTGAGACCCTGCTGAGGGGACTGTCACTTCCACTCCTTTATTCTCCACCCGCTGTTGGGCTGATGCTGCAGTCAGCTGGAGCAGAGGACAGCGGGCAGTGGCCTGTGTCACAGTGTCACTCACATCCGGAACAAGGACCATGGGTCTGGGCGAGAGGTTCCTTCCTCCTTGGACTGGGCAGGGGGAAGCTAACTAATGCAGTCTACCTCATGCCCTGCTCCTCGGGGCCCAGTTGTGGGGAGAGGCTTCAACAGATGGGTGCTGGGTAGAAGGTGCTGAAGCCCAGCTTCCGAGGAACCTGGAAGTTGGGTGCCTTCCAGGCAGAACTTCAGGGACCTTGGCCCCACTTATGGAGGTCACAGGCTGCTAGAAGAGCTATGGCCTGCAGCTTGGCACCCTCAGGTGATCCCAGAGCTCTGATCTATCCCTGAACAAGGCAGGGTTCTCATGGTGCTTTCTGCCTTCTTTCTTTTTGACTGATGTGGACCTAACTAAAGTTGTTCAGGGGTTACTAGAAGCCAAAGGGACAATGAGTTCGGGTTCATTTGGGTGCAACTTCCCTGTTTGGATCTGTACAGGGAGTTCCATGTTTGCTCTTATTCCACTTGGCACTCCTTGGAAGACCAGCACCTTGTAACCTGGATGGTGGGGCATTAGGTCAGCGGGAGGGAGCACTGTTGTGGCCCCTGATGCTTTGTGGGCAGTCAGAGAAACGACAGGGACCTCTTCTTGGTCAAGAGAGCAACTATTGCAAACAGATGCTGCCACTTAAAAGGGAGATGGTTTGGTGGCTGAAGCAGGGAGCATGAGAGATCTAGAAGGTTCTATTTTCACGGGGTGAGGATGGGTAGGTGCTGAGCTGTGGAATCTGACTTTAAAGATGTCACTCTGGGATGGAGAAAAGGAGTTCAGATACTTTTGTCATGTTGAGAGGAATGTGCAAGTGAGCCCAGTGTTGAAGACACTGCATGGCCACAGGGAACTTACACAGTGACCATAGCCCTGTACCCACTGAGAGGGAAACAGGGGTGCCTACATGGGTGAGATGCTGAACACCCATCGGCTAGCAAGTCAGCCTTCTTCTCCGGCAGCTCCTGCTGTCTCCTGTGGGCATGCTACATTACATCTCCAAGCTTTCACCTTTCTTGTAGGTAAATGGGGTTCATTGTTTGCTACCTCAGCTGCTGCTCTCTAGGACAGAAGTAACCTGGTGCTCCCACCAGGTGCTCAGTCATTATCATCACAGCTGGATCTGCCCAGCCATAGAGAGGAGTAGGTGCATGGTTTCCTGTTTCCCATAGCCTGGCTATCTGCTGGGACTCTGAATATGAAGACAGAGTGGGGTTCCTTGGGATCAGGTTTTAGGAAGCACTAAGAATCAATGCTCTGACCCAGGGACACTTGGAAGCTACCAGCAGAACTACTGGAGACCCATCTGTCATTCTTATAGACTTGTCAGGGAAATAGAAATGCAGGTGTTTCTTATAGCAGGGTATTTCTTGAAGACCTAGAAGCTCCAGTGTATAATAGGGCATCTTCAAAGAATAGGCATTGTGTCCAAGACCTCAGTGGAGGACTTGATAGAGACAAGAACAAAAACTCTTGTCTTCACTGTGGGGGAGGAGGGCCAGTGTCAATTCTTTTACATGTTCCCTGGTAGTCAAAATCTACATACTGGCCAGTGGCCAATTCAGCCTCTAGGGCAGTGGTTCTCAACCTGTAGGTTGCAACTCCTTTGGTGGTAGAGTGACCTTTTCTGATATGTGTCAGAGATCACATATCAGATATTTACATTATAATTCAAAACAGTAGTAAAATAACAATTATGAAGTAGCAATGAAAATAACTTTATGGTTGGGTTCACAACATGAGGAACTGTATTGAAGGGTCACAGCATTAGGAAGGTTGAGAACCACTATTCTAGAGTGCTATTCTAACCCTGGTCTATCTCTGATCTGGAGACCTTGGACAGAGTTTCTACAGTGGGTGAGGGGTTTGCAAACCCTCTGAGACTAGGCTACAGTCACCTTTGAAGGACAGCGAGGGGGAAGCAATCAGTACTTCAGAGCTGTATGACAAAAGGACCCCGGGGCTGAAGGGGAGCCTTGCTAGCTGATGACAGCATGGTGCCCTGTGCTTGGTGTATTCTATCCCTGTGAGGAGAGCTGGTGCTGGGCATACAGAAAGGGTTAGGAGTAGAAGCGGTGGGAAGTGAGGTGCCCTCATAGAGGTGGCTGGCCACTAAAAGAGCAGAATTGCTGTCGGCTGTTTTACACATTATTTCAAGGAGGGATGGCCACTTTTGTTCCTGACACATTCCAATGCCAGGTGTCCACACTCTTTTCTGTCACAATAGTTTTTTTTTTTTTTTTTTTTTTTTTTTTAAAGAAGTATGACGAAGACAACTTGGGAAGTTTGTCTTGGCTTTGAACAGTTTCTGTTTAACCGTGCTGAGCAGAGATGAAGTCAAGGCACAGGTTTCTTGTAATGGAATAAAAAGTCAAAGTGATGTCCAATGCCTACGGAGAAGAACATTCTTGGGGGGAGACTCCAGGAACTTCTTCACTGGGAATATGGACCAGAAAGACTTTGGGGTTGAGATCCCCGACCCTCTTTTGCCTATTGTGTGCACTGATTGGAGGATTTAAAACCAAACACCCTCTTAATGGACCTCATCCTGTTGGGAGAGGGGCTGAAAGGAGCTCACCTTGGAAGTCAGCTCCTGGAGACTCTAGACACTGTTGTTGGTAGAGCCCCTTCCCCTTTGGGCTTGCTTCTTTTGCATTTTGTGTACTGCAGATAGACAAGAGGGTATGGGGACTGGCCGAGCGTGTATACTGTGTATACATAGGAACTGGCTGCTGAGGTGACAGCAGCCTACTCCTAATAAAGTTGGATGTATTTAAAACTTGCATCTTGTTCTGTTGCTTTATCTCATCCATGGGTATGTTCTTTATGCTATGGTGGGGTGATTGAGACAACAGTGGCAATGGTAGCCACACCCTACTCTGTGAGGTCTCAAATGATTAGGAGGTAGAGCCCAGGCTAAAAAGCAAAGGGACTGTATCATGAGAGGCAGCAGTAAGTGTGAAGAAGGAACTCAACCATTTAAAAAAATCATCCAGAAACCTAGCTGGTCTGGAATCTGAGGTGAACTCTTAGAATCTAATTTCCTATGTGTAGAGTGAGAAGGGGAGATTGAACCATCCTTTACGATGCCTTGTGCTTTAGTCTTTTGGCTTCTAGGCACAGCTATGGTTGAGACATTTGGGTTCAGAAATTGATGCCTTTGTCTTTTTGACTTTCTGGCTGAGCAAGAGCATGGGGAATAATTTCTCCATAAGCTTGGCAGTCCTTTCAGGTTTGCTGGTGAGGAGAACAGAGCTTCAGTACTTAGGGGTTCCGGGGAAAGGCAGACCCAGACAGAAGAACCTAGCCTATGAAGTACCAGAAGCCTGGATAAAACATTGAAGGGCTTGGGTCAATGCCTAAGCTCAATGGATCATTGTAATAACTTGTAAAATTGCCCATAACCTGGCTATCTTCTTGGTGGTAATTTTTGTTTGCCCTGTGGTTTCCAATGCAGCAATTTCTAGTAGGACTTATCTAAGGTAAAGGTCCTATGGGCTGTTTTTGGTGGTGGTGGTGGTGGTGGTAGTAGTGGTGTGTGTGTGTGTGTGTGTGTGTGTGTGTGTGTGTGTGTGTAAATGGAGGAAACAGAATGGGCTGGGCTCACCTGAGCAGCCAGGTCTAGAGCCCCAGGAGAACAGCCAGGACAACATGGAGGCCAGTGTCCATGCAAGCTGCCTCTCGGAGCAGACAAGCCTGCTTATGTATGTTTCTAAGCTTTCTAGAGAAGGAAAGGGCACTTTTTTTTTTTTTTTTTAACTTCTCTGGCTTTTGATGAGGGGCAAGGACAGTTTGCTTTGTGATATATTTGTAGGAAGAAAATGTATCCTTTTGTCCCAGTAGAGAAAAAAAACACAGCCTGGATAACTTTGCAAACTATTCCTGACTCCCTGAGCTAAGCTCTGCCCGCCTAGTGTGTCCTGGCAGGTCCCCAGCAGGCTGAGCTGGCAGAGCCAAGGGCAGCATGGATGACCCTAGAGTCTTTCCATTGATCCTTGGCTTGTGCCCAGCCTTCCCTGGGTGAGTCAGCCCTGAAGCGGCCACCCTGGCAACAAATCCCAGAAGAACGAGTCTCCCTTCGGGGCCTTCAGATGCCACCGTGTCACCTCCCAACCCACACAACTCTGAGAGGGTTGCAATAAAATTCTCACTTCTCTCAAGCAGGAGAGACTGCTAAACAGAGCAAACCATTTCTCACCCTTCTCTGCCCACCCCAGGCCCTGGAGGATTTGCCCCACCGCTCTGCTCTTGAAGCTCTATTGGGAAGCTCTTCCATTGTCTTGTGTGGGCTATGGTCAGTAATGCAAATCAAGTTCCAAGAACTGACAGAATGTGGTTAAGAAGATAGGAGGCCTTCCAAAGGAAGAAAGAGGGGAGGAAAGGACAAAATAGGGACATGGTGAGGTAAGGAAATCTGAAAAATGAAAACAACAAAAACCCCTCCAAAAACCAAACCAAACCAAACAACAACAATAACAAAAAACCCCCAAAACAAACAAACCAAAACCAAAACCCAAAACCAAACCAAAGCAAAAAGCCTGTATTTTGGGAAATGGTTGGAGGCTGGTGAGGTTAGAGCTGTCCCTCAGATCCCAGTTTTGCTTCCTTGCCCCCCTCCATTCCCATTCTGCTTTAGTCCCAGACAAAATACAGGGCCTTGGACACTCTCCTTGACTCTGACCAACTGATCTGATGGCAGGAAGACCTCTCTCGAAGCTAGAGTAAGTAAACATGCCAGGTTTGCTGTTGGGTGGGCCATGAGAGCATAGCCTTTGGGTGTCTGGGGGAAAGGTGGCCAAGAAGCTGACCTCTTGGGAGTGCCTGCTTAGGGTGAGGTGTGCTGAGCCTCCTTCCAGATGTCCCCATGCACTTTAGGAGGACTTGTCAGTCAGGCTTCTAGGGAGGCAGGGAGTCAGCTGCCTGACCCTTTGTTTTGCCCTGAAGGCTTTCACGTATGGAGCATGTCCCTGCTCCAAGCCTCTGTGGCCCCCGAAGGGCCCATCAACACACCCTGAACATGTCCAAGATCCCTGCTATGTCTTCTATGAGGAAACCTACTCTCTTAATTGCTTTCTTGGCATAACTCCCAGTGGAGCTTCTGACATCTCAGGGTTGGGAATTGACACGTGGAAACCACTTTGCCACCAAATGAACCTTAGCTTCAGAGAAGCCCAGAAAGCTGGGATAGTCTGAGCTACTCTGAATGACAAAGGATGAGCAAAGCGTAAAAAGTGAACAAACTCTGGGCACAGGGACCCTTGTTTTCCCCAAAACATCCAGCACTATTGCCCCTTCATTTCTTTAAAAACAATTATGAAATATTGGACACATATAGAAGGTACAAAGAATAAGAAAGAAAATAAAATCTAGGTACCAATCACACAGTACATAATATAAAAACATTACTGGGTGTGTGGTATATACCTGGAATCCTAGCACTTAGGAGCTGAGGTAGAATTCAAACAAAGCAAAAACAAACAAGCAAACATCAATCAATCACTCAATCAGTTAGTCAGATATAGTGAATAGTTAAGACCTCCATAGATGTCTCTTGGGCTCTGCCCTTCTCCTGTCACAGGTAAATATTATCTTCAGTTTGGTGTTTCTCCCTCCCCATCATTCCTGTAGTCTTCTGCTGCATGCATGTATCCTAAGCAATGGATAACCTGCTTTGCGTACTTCTCGCCTGTGGATAGACAAGGTAGCCGGTTACATGCTCCTTCTTCCAAATTACCTTCTTCTTCCTCTTCTTCTTTTTAATAAAAGAAAGCATTTAACTTGGGTTTATGGTTTTAGAGAGTTAGAGTCCATGATGGCCCAGCAAAGGCATAGTAGTAGGGACAGTTGAGAGCTTACATTTTGATCCGCGAGTTGGATGCAGAGGGAGAGACAGACTGAGAATGGTCTATCCACAGTGACACACTTCCTCTGACAAAGCTATACACACCTAATCTTTCCCAAACAATTCCACCAACTGGGACCAAGCATTCAAATGCATGAACATATGGGGGCCATTCTCATTCGAGTCACCATATCTACCAAATTTGATAATTACTTTATAAGAATCTTTTAGTTATTTTTCCAACATTATATTTTTATTGATTATTTATTATTTGAGAATTTCACAACATACACTCTGATCACACTCACTTTCCAGTCCTTCCAAGTCTGCCCCCACCCTTGTGACTTCCCTGCTTCCCCCAAAAGAAGGAAAAAAAAAAAAAACCCTGCATCATGCCCTATTTGTGTTGCCTATATACTCACTGGGGCATGGTCAAACTCCCAGTAGTCAGCTCCTTAAATAGAGCTGAGTCCTTTCCCACCCTTACCCCCACCAGAAGCCATCAATTGTGGAGAGCATCCTTATCACAATTTTTAAGAATTCTCTTTGATGACTTTATGTTTAGGTTGTTACTTTTTGGGGGTGGAGTGGGGTAGGGATGGTTGCAGAAGGCTTCTACGTCCCTCTTTCTCAACTGTGAGTCTGCACTCATCAGAACCACTGAAATAGTAGCTCCCTTGCTGCTTACAGTCAGTGGGAACACTGATCATGGACTTCTACATAGTTTCTGGCAACAACACAGACAATGAATATCCACATGATCTACAGCTTCAGCACATGCCACAGACCTCAGCATGGTCTCTGGTAGCAGTGTAGACCATGGACCATGGACATCATCAACACAACCCTTTGCTTCATCATGGGCCTCAGGCACCATCATAGCCCTCAGAGACAACATGGACATCAGGGACCACAGACACTAATATGGTTTCTGGTGGTGCAGCTGAGCCCATAGATATCAACATGGCTTCGGGTGGCAGCACAGACCATGGTCATCTGCAGGGCTTTTGGTGGTAACAGGAGTCATAGATATGAACCTAGTGTCCAGCTGAAGCCGGGCCATGGACACCACCATGGCCTTTTGGGGAAGCATGGATCACAGACACCAACAAGACCTTAGGCAGCAGTACAGGCCCCTCACATCAATATGGTCTCTGGTGGCAATATGGACCAGAGTCACTAATATGGCCCCCAGAAGTAGTATGGACTACAGACATCCATCTGGTTTCTGGCCGTAGCATGAGCCTTGGACATTGACATGGCTTCCAGTGGCAGCCCAGATCACAGACATCCACATGAACCTTGGGCTTCAACATGGTCTGGGGCAGCAGACCATGGACACCAACATGGTCTGGGGCAGCAGACCATGGACACCAACATGGTCTCAATGAAC